CATGTGATCAGCTGGTTTTGGTTGTCTGCAGCAAACTGGTTGATCCACTCTGAGAAGGTGCTATTTAAGAGACTGAGCTGAATACAGCACCTCAGACTGAGGTGGGACTAAGGTGGCAGCCCCTCCCTGGGCTGCCACCTTACCGTGGTGGAGGGGTTTGAGTGTCCCAGTGATCCTAGGAGCTATGCTGTCAGTGGCTTTATGCCCCTAGTAGGGTCACCCATGGCAGACAGGTCCTAGGTGAGGGACCAGACAAAGTGCAGCCCAAAGACCCCGATGATGACACAAAGAAATGGACCTAGTGTTCCCTTGCCCGGACGTGGGTCACCGGGACCCCACTCTGGAGCCAGGCCTGGAGGTGGGGCACGCGGGCGAGTGCCTGGTGGCCGGGCTTTTACCCATGGAGCTCGGCCGGGCACAGCCCGAAGAGGAGACGTGGGTCCCCCTTCCCATGGGCTCACCACCTGTGGGAGGGGCCAAAGGGGTCGGGTGCAATGTGGGATGGGTGGTGGCCGAGGGCGGGGACCCTGGCAGTCTGATCCTCGGCTACAGAAGCTGGCTATTGGGATGTGGAATGTCAACTCACTGGTGGGGAAGGAGCCTGAGCTGGTGTGTGAGGCTGAGAGGTTCCGGCTAGAAATAGTCGGACTCACCTCTACGCATGGCTCGGGCTCTGGAACCAGTTTCCTTGAGAGGGGCTGGACACTCTTCCACTCTGGAGTTGCCCCTGGTGAGAGGCGCTGAGCAGGCGTGGGCATACTTATTGCCCCCTAACTTGGTGCCTGTGTGTTGGGGTTCACCCCGGTGAATGAGAGGGTGGACTCCCTCCGCCTACGTGTGGGGGGACGGGTTCTGACTGTCGTTTGTGCTTATGCACCAAACGGCAGTTCAGATTATCCACCCTTTCTGGAGTCCTTGGAGGGGGTACTGGAAAGTGCACCTTCTGGGGTTAGTTAGCACCTTCTTGTTCTGCTGCGGGACTTCAATGACTGTTTTTTTTTCGTTTTTTTTTTTTTACCTTTTCCTTTTAGCCATCCTATTTGTAAAAAAACAAAACAAAACAAAAAAAACCCCCCGCAGTATTACTTTTTATAACTGTTTATTGTTGTTGCTGTTGTCCTTTGTTGTCATCTGTCTTTGTTGAAATCAGGTCTCTCTTGTAAATGAGTCCTCGAGGCTCAATGGGATTTACCTGTCTAAATAAAGGTTGATTGATTACTCTGTTTGTGCCGGGGGACTGGATCTTTGGGATGAACAACATAATGGTACTTCCTCCAGTTATTTAACAGTCAACAATGGTGTACCACAAGGCTCAGTCTTAGGACCCACCCTCTTTACAATCTACATATGTAATGTAGGTAAAAACATCCCTGATGCATCCATACATTTCTATGCTGATGACACAGTTGTTTATTGTCGAGCTAAAACTGTTGCTAAGGCTTTAAGAAGGAGGAGAAACAAGAGGAGGTAAGACAGGAGGAGGTGAGAAGGAAGAGGAGAAACAAGAGGAGGTGAGACAGGAGAAGATGAGACAGGAGGAGGTGAGAAAGAGGAGAAACAAGAGGAGGTGAGACAGGAGGAGCAGAGACAGGAGGAGCTGAGAAAGGAGGATGTGAGAAGGAGGAGAAATAAGAGGAGGTGAGACAGGAGG